CAAACCTGTATCATGTCAGCTTAGGAACTGAATTCCTCAATAAGACTCCTAAAGCACAAGAAGTAAAAACAAGGATCAATAAATGGGATGGAATCAAAACTAAAAAGCTTCTTCAGAGCCCACAGAATGGGAGAAAAATCCTTGCCACTTGCACCTCAGATTGAGCATTCATCTCCAGGATATACAAAAAAAACTCAAAAAACTTAACACCAAAAAAAAAAAAAAATCAATAAATGGGCAAAGGAATTTAACAGTTACTTCACAGAAGAAGAAATACAAATGGTCAACAAATATATGAAAAATGTTCAACATCTCTAGCAATTAGAGAAATACAAATTAAAACTACACTGAGATTTCATCTCACTACAGTCAGGATCAAGAATACAAGTAACAATAAATGTTGACAAGGATGTGGGGGAAAAGGTACACTCATACATTGCTGGTGGGAGTGCAAATTGGTGCAACCACTCTGGAAAGCAGTATGGAGGTCATTAGGCCCATTTATCCCACTCCTTGGCATATACCCAAAGGACTTACTATAGTGACACGGCCATATTAATGTTTACAGCAGCTCAATTCACAATAGCTAAACTATGAAACCAACTTAGGTGCCCTGTAAAAGATAAATGGACAAAGAAAATGTGATATATATAAACAATGGAATATTACTCAACCAATTATGGCATCTGATGGTAAATGGATAGAACTAGAGGATACCATGCTAAGTGAAATAAGCCAATCCCCCAAAACTAAAAGCCAAATGTTCTCTTTGATTTGCCGATACTGACTCTTAATAAGGGGGAAGGAGGACTACAGCTCACCAGACTGGACAGGAGGTAATGGAGGGAAAGGATGGAGGATGGGAATGGGAAAGACCAGTAGAATAAATTGGATATAACTTTCCTGTGTTCATATATGAATACACCAGTGTAACACCACATCATGTACAACCACAAGAACAGGAAGTTATACTCCATGTATGTGTGATTGTATATGTCAAAATACATTCTACTGCCGTGTATAACTAAAAAAAAAAAAGAGAGAGAGAGAGAGAGAGGGAGTGACTGGGTTAAATGACTCTCTCTGTGTGTGTGTGTGTGTGTGTGTATGTACATAAATCATCCAAATACTTTTTTTAAAAAAAGAAATGTTTGAGGAAGCATTCAGTAAATAAGAATGCTGAAAGTATGAAATAATAGGTACTTTTCTGCCTACTTTAGACAGTATTAAGAATTAAGATAAAATTTATATGAAATAAAAAACAGACATTTAAGTGAAATATTAAAGAGTTTTGGCAAATTGTATCTTAAAACTATTAAATAGCTGAATGAAATACTTCTGTGTTATCATCCCAGTTACAAAATCAGATCATTACATTTGCCAACCAGAGTGGAACCTAAACTCAGATTTAAAATGTTGCGCCATTTAGGCACAGACAACACTTTTTTGTTTAAATTTAAAGTGCAAAGAATATGATTTAATTTACATGTCACCAACTTTCCAACAATAATCTAGGGCAAAGTATATAAAAAAATTTTAAAAGGTTAATTTACAGTAATAAGTCTAAGTTTATATGAATGGTACAAGAAAATTTCAAATGAAATAAATTATAAATAACTGAAACTTAGGAATATACTGCTGAGCATCAAAAGGAGACCTTGAGGCTGTCAAAAAAGAAAGAGGAACAAAAAGAACTGTTGCTCAGAGAACAACAGAGAACTGAGAAAGAAAAGCTGAACTTTTCAACCCCCAGGTTGCTCATCTTCTTAGTCAAGGAGGTATCAATAAGAAGGCTTGTTAGTTTTTTGATGTATCAAAAGCATCACCAGAAAATACTGACATGAGTTTTGTTCCCTTGGAACATTTGCTGTTATTAATATTTTTTAGAGACACAAACTACTCAATACCTAATTCAACCATAGCCAGCACATGGTAGTCACATACAACTAGATTTTTTGGCTGCTTTTTATTATGGGATCCAAACATGAATAAAGAACCATCTGACTTCTTTGAAAAGAATTTCAGTGATATCTGATCCTCAAAATTACTAATATCTGTGATAAAAAAGGAAATATCACAATGGACACTACAGAAATACAAAAGATAATTATTTTGAAAAATTGTACTCTTATAAAATAGAAAATATTAAAGACACTGACAAATTTCTAGAGTCATATGACTTGCCCAAACTGAATCAAGATGATATACACAATTTAAAGAGATCAATTTCAAGCAATGAAATAGAAGATGCTACCAGAAGCCTATTGACCACAAAAAGCCCAGGACTGGATGGATACACAACTGAGGTCTACAAGGCCTTTAAAGAAGAATAGCAGAACTCCTCAAATTATTTCATGAAATAGAAAAAGAGGGAACACTTCCAAATTCATTCTATGATACCAATATTTTTCTTTTTATATAGAACACCTCAAGTTTTTCAGTGCATGCATCTCTCTAAGTATTTGCATCACTGTTGCCTTTGCATTTCCCCCTTTAATCACCATAGTATTTTTAATATTTTCACTGAGTTTTTGCTCTCTCTTCTCAAAGAATCTGTTGGCCCTTTGCATTTTGGGTCTTATAATTTGATCCAAGACATCTATAGCTGCCACAGCCCCAGGCTAGTGAAATCACAGACAACATTTTATGAAATATAAAAGAAGTCCCTTTTCTATAAGACTAGATATAATTATATAATGTACATGCTTATGTCAAAAATATAAACTATGCCATAAAATAATAAAATTTCCTAGTCTTCACATTATAAGAAATTATGAAAGCCACATGAACTATGTCATATCTTCATTTTTAAAAAGCCTAAATCTATACTTATTGGTTCTTAGCTTTTACAATACAGTAAATATATTGGGCTGGGGATGTGGCTCAAGTGGTAACACACTCACCTGGCATGTGCGGGGTGCTGGGTTCGAGCCTCAGCACCACATAAAAATAAAGATATTGTGTCCATTGAAAACTAAAAAAATATTTAAAAATTCTCTCTCTCTCTCTAAAAAATATAGAGATGCTAAAAGTGATGGCTACTTTTATCAAGAAAAAGCAAATACACAATATTTGCACATTTCACTATTTCTAAATTTCACAATGAAAAGAAAAAAAATAAGATTTAAAAAATATATTTGAAGCCCCAAAGTGCAAGATGGAACAGATACTATAAATTATTTGCTTTTGAAAAAAGAAGTGCTTATAAAGGATTTAAAAAATAACTTTGGGAGGCTGGGGATGTGGCTCAAGCGGTAGCGCGCTCGCCTGGCATGCGTGCGGCCCGGGTTTGATCCTCAGTACCACATACAAACAAAGATGTTGTGTCCGCCGAAAACTAAAAAATAAATATTAAAGTTCTCTCTCTCTCAAAAAAAAAAAAGCCTCCTGCTCCCCTTGATGGGCAAAATCACAGCCTCTGGGACAGGAATTCTCTGTGCTTCTCCTTTTAAAAAATAAATAAATAACTTCGGGGCTGGGTTGTGGCCCATTGGAAGAGCGCTTGCCTAGCATGTTTGAGGCACTGGGTTTGATCCACAGCACCATATAAACATAAATAAATAAAGGTATTAAAAAATGACACCATGTTTAAAAGAAAAATAACTTTGGGAAGAGTAAGTATACTGTTTATCCTTTAACAGAGGAGGTTAAAAAGTTAATCATAAAATAATAAATGAAATAAAATATATGTATACAACTGTACCTAAATACTAAAGGAAATAAAATAGTATGGTCACAACTATGTACAAAAGTATCTCTGTTCATTTTTCTCTACTATCTCCTGCATTTCTCAATCTCAGTATCACTGACATTTTTAGTTAAACAATTTTTCTTGTGCAGGGTCACCTTGTGCATTATAGGCTATGTATCATTATCCCTTGTCCCTATCAGATGACAGTAGCACCCATTTCTTCCCAGTTCTAATAACCAAAATTATTTCCAGAATTGCCAAATGTACTATGGAGCAAAAAATTGGTCTTGTCTGAGAACCACTGATCTGTACCACCAAAAGCTTCCTAACCAGACAAACAGTGTCCCATCATCCTTCTTTGCTCCATTTCATTCTATACACATTATCCAAGGTTGTCTTTTTTGAACTAAGCATATGTGCATGTCACTACATATCTGCTCATCAATTAAAACTTGCAGTGGATTTTTTCCTTGTTTTTAGGATTTAGTCCTAACTTCTGAGCACATTTTACACAGTCTAGCCTCTCCCTACCTCTACAACCCCATTGGGAATCACACTTTTCTCTCTCTTCATTCCAAACCTTCATACATGATAGGGTCATCACCATTCTCTCTCCTCAATTTTTCTCTTCCTATAAGCCTCTCTTCACTTCATGTCTCATTAATTCCTATTTAACCTTCAGATCTCGGGTAATATAGTGCTTTTTCAGGGAAATCTATCTAAATCTCACTGGCTAAGTCAAATACCTATTTTAAGTTCATAATGCACAACAGTCCTTGGTAGCATCTATTATTATAGTGATTTCTGCATTGCCTGATATAGTTATGGTGCCTCCCTCATTCCAAGGATAGCAAGGACAGCGTGTATTTTGCTCATCATTATATTTCTAAAGACTAGCCCCTGGTAGATACACATTAAATATTTTCTTGGCCAGGCTCAGTAGCACCTGCCTATAATCCCAGAGACTCAAGAGGCTGAGGTAGGAGGATCATAAATTTGAAGTTAGCCATGGTAACTTAATGAAACCCTGTGTCAAATACAAAAAGTAAAAGGGTTGGGATGTAGCCCAGTGGTAGAGTATCCTTGGGTTTAATTTCCAGAACCAAGAAAAAAAATTTTTTTCTCAATGAAATGAATGAAAATGTGCATGTGTACACACATAAACACAAAGACCGCAAATTAAGATTGATTGTGCTTGGGTGGTAGTATCTATATGAGTTCTAAAAGAATCTTCTATATATTCCAAATTGCCTTTAATATAAATTACTAGTATAAACAGAAAAGAAAAGAAAAAAATATATATATACACCTAATGGTTGCAGTAAATATCTTCTGGTATTGAAAATTCTTGCTACTCCAGCCAATGTTAATACCCATGTCTCAGCCCACTGCTTCTCTGCTGTATCTCTTGAATGATGAATGAGAATATTGCCACCTCCAGATTCAATCTTTTCTTTGTCTGCAGTTGTAGAAGACTCTCGAACTCGGTCCAGTAGATTAAAGAGAACCTAAATATTTATAAAAATGTCATACAAAAAATATTGATACTTAAGTAACAGTGTAGAAAACCAGAAGTTGTATAAAAAATATTTATACCTTACAGTCTTATTCTTTTTTTTTTTTTTTGGTGGTATTGGGGGGTGAACCCAGAGCCTCCTGTATGCGAGGCAAGCACTGTACCAACTGAGCTATATCCCCAGCCCTGACAGTCTTATTAATCCCCATATTAGATGAAACTGACCAATTAAAGTAACCATGTATTTTCAAGTCATATTTAAGGTCATAAAATATAAAACATTAAAATAAACTAAACAGAACATCATGTAAGACTTGTTATCAATGGGACATCCATAGAGATAATGTTAAAACAACAACAACAACAAAAACAACAAAGGTTAAGGAGAAGGTTCCAGGCAAAAAAATATATTTATGGAAGATATCCAAATTGAGGTTACAACTGAAGCTCTAGGACTAGCTAAGGGTGCTAGAAAGAAAAAAAGAAAGAAAGAAATCAACAAGCAAAAATTAATTATAATTTGGGGAATATTTGCACTTATGAATAAGCACAATGAAAAACAAAATTAAAACTAAATAGAGAAATATATACATGCTGTGAAACAAAAGCTAAAAAAAGAAAATTTCAAGAAGATAATAGCATTAAATGCTAACAAAAAATAAGTAGGACTAGCACTGGGTATAGGCCAAAGGACTTAGGAAACAGAAGACCATCTATAGCCTATGAATGATTTCTGTGGTTCTCAAAGTATGGTTTTGGAACCAGCAGCAGCAGCATCACCCAGAAGTTTGACTGAAATGTGAATTTTCAGGATCCACTCCAGGCCAAAAAATCTGAAATAAAGGAGGTCAATTCTAGGGTGGAGCTAGAACTTTAAACAAATCCGCTAAATGACTCTATCGCACTCTAATGTTTAAGAGACCTTACCCTGAAGTAGAATAATTTGGAAATCAAATTACAAGGAACAAAGGAATGGGGAAGTGAGGAAGAAAAAAATCATTGCAAATTAGGCAACAAAAATATTAAAAATGAAGCTACTTAGCTGGGCCCATCTGATTGGGAGGATGAGGCAGAAGGTTTACAAGTTTGAGACCAGCATGGATAATTTAGTAAAACTCCCTGAAAACAAAACCTAAAAAGGGCTGGGAATAGCACTCAGAGAGGTAGAATGTAACTGAGGAGGAAAAATAAGAAGCAGAAGCTATTTAAAAGCAAAACAAGAATTAGAAAAAATATTCATTAAAAAAAAAGAGGGACTTTGGGCTAAGGTTGCAGTTTAGTGGTAGAACACTTCCCTAGCATGTGTGAGGCACTGGATTTGATCCTCAGTACCACAGAAAAATAAATAAATAAATAAATAAAACTAAGGTTAAAAAAAGAAAAGAGGGACTTAAGCATGTTTGGGATCTGAGAAGGAGCCAAGGGACAGAGGTGAAACAGAAGACAGAAGCAAACAGGGCTTTTACCATTAACATAAAATTTTTACTTTTCAGTTAAAAATAAATAAATAAAAATTTAAACAATAAGGATGGAAAGATGGTTTTAATTTTTTTAACTAGAGAAAATATATTATTAATTTTTAAGAAAATATTTTGGGGTCTATTATAAGGTTTCAACTCTATTATAAGGTATTGTTGGTTTCACAAATCCTTGTTTTACCTTTTGGAAAACAAAGGAGTGAAAAAAAAGAAAAGTACAGATAGAACATGAGACAAAAAATAAGAGATGAATAACAGAAATGGAACTTTTAATATTTAACATTTTCTGTGGGAGGTATAATTTAAAAATATGACATTTTTTTGTCTTGTCAAATATACAAATGCATGAAAACTCTTTAAAAAATAAAAAGAAACAAGTTTAACTGAAAAAAACAAATACACTATAAAAGCATATAGTACCTTCCAAATAACGGTGTGCCAGGTTGAATGCTGTAATAAAGTTCCATGTGCACCAATTGTAGAAAACAGAGTCTGCCCTGCACTCTTTCTGACAGCAGGACGGGGGTCCACACATAATTCACCCAATTTTGCATAAAGACATAACCATAAGCAATCAAATGGTGGCGCAGGGTGGAACGGCCGATTTAAAACCACTCCTTTCTCTTCTGCCTGCTTTTGCTGTGCTGCCTCTTCTTTGTTTAATTCTTTTTCAATAATTTCTCCTCTTTGGAAAAAATAATCTGAAATATTCCACTAAGGAAAAAAGCAGCAAAATATCACTTTATTCACAGATTTTGTTTTAAACACATAAGTTAATAAGTAATGTGGTTGTTTCACTTTTCATAGTAAAACATTTAAAAAATTACTTCATAAATCTCCTTTCTCATAGAATAAATTCAATGGAAACATCTTTACTTCCTCTATCATGTTTCGGATTCCAGGAGAACAATCCATCTTCTCTAGCACTATCCTGTTCCCCTGACCTTTTTTTTTTTTTTTAACGTTTTATTGTGAAAAAGTTCAAGTACATGCAGAAAACAAGGAGAATATAAGGTACTTCAATGTATTAATATACACCTTGATAAAACAATTGCTAAAACATAACTAATAATACCATTACTATCATAGTTAAATTACTAACAATTTCTTAATATCATTACACAATAACTGTATAGTCTTCCTTTCCTTCCTTCCTTCCTTCCTCTCTCTCTTCCTTTACTTGCAGTACTGGGAATTGTACCCAGTGGTACTCTACCAATGAACTACATCCCTAAACCTTTTTATGTTGGGACAGGTCTCCCTAAATTGTAGAGGCTGGCTTCAAACTTGCAATCCTTCTTCAGCCTCCCAAGTAGTTGGGATTATAAGTATATGACACCATATGCCCAGTTTTTATTTATAATTTTACATACAAAAAAAGAACAATTACTATCTTCAAGCATGTCTATAACTTTATTCTCAACCAAAATACAGTAAGAGAATTAATGATAATTTATGCCAATGATAAAAATGTAGGGGATCCAATACTGCAAACATAAATGTAAAATAAAAGATGTGACACCTGCAGTAATTTAATTAACAATGAACTAACCAACCACTTGTGGGAAGCAATTTTATATATAACATGCTTATTTTTTTTTACATAATTATATTTATAATATTTTTTAGTTGTAATTGGACACAATACTTTTATTTTATTTATTTTTATGTGGTGCTGAGGATGGAACCCAGCACTCCACACATGCTAGGCAAACATTCTACCGCTGAGCCATAATCCCAGCCCCACATAATTATATTTTTAAGAGTAAAATACTAACTTATCTAGCTTGTGAGGGAATTATTTATTTATCTATTTATTTGAGGTACCAGGGACTGAACTCAGAAATGCCCAGACACTGAGCCACATCCCCAACCTGTTTTTTATTTTTAATTTTGAGACAGGGCTTCACTAAGTTGCTGAGGGCTTTGAACTCACTATCCTCCTGTCTTAGCCTCTTGAGCCACTGGGATTACAGGCATGTGCCACCTTGCCTGGCTTGTGAGGGAAATTTAAGTTCAACTTTATAAACCGTCTGCATTATAATATGTATTTTTAAAACTCTATAAACAATTGTCTTAAATATATAGCTCCTTTCATGTTGACTTCATATAATGTTGACAATATCCTAACTTAGATTTTATTATTTCTTTTTTCAAAATGTGTAAAATGAGGCTCAGAGGTCTGTAACTCAAGAATAAGAGTCAAATATAATTCATATTTTATATATATCCCCCAGAGCCTAGGGTCTTCTCCTATGATTTTTTTGTCTCCTAGAGTATTTCTGATAGACTACAGGACTATGTAAATGGTACAGAATTCTATTGAAGCTTTATTTACAAATGAATAGTCCAAGAAAATGTTATTAAAGTATATTTAAATTCAGTAAACTTTCACATTAAAATTAACTAATGGTTTTCCTTATGTATATATAATTTGTTTACTACATTATCTCACAACAAACCTTATAAAAGTCAATCTTCAACATATCAAAAGTTCTCCAAATATTCTGCTATTATGAATTATTTCTTATGTTATTTAATTCTTCATGGAAGATATATTTGATATTCAAGTCATTCAAATAATTTTCTTAGAGCCAAAACCATATTTGTTTGGCATTCACTTCCAATTGTATAACAGTAATTTCTAAGTTATACTATCGTAAGAAAGGCGATGATACTTACCAATAAACCTATTGAAGTTAAACTAATATTTAGTTCTTGGTTATGAAGTCCAAAGCTACCTGCAACATCTACAACTATCTGTAAGCAAGTACAAGGCATTGTTGGTAGAAAATCTGTCACAACTAATTGAAGACACTGGAATGCGGTTCGTATCAAGGATTCTCTGAAAACACAAAAGAAATGTATATTGATGCATTTAAAAGAAATGTGTAAAAGCATTTACCTTACAATAATTTGAACAAGCAAAATTTTATTTTACAATTTTACCAAGAAAACCCTCCCTAATATAGATCATATAGTACTTCAATATTTATAAGTGTAAAAATGATATACTTACTTTAAAATATACAACTAATAATAAAGAACCTCAGAGGTAGTAAGAAATAAAATTAGCAGATTAAGAAAAAGGATATGAAAATGAGTATTAGCAATGTATCATTTCTATTTGTATTTTACATTAAGTAACCAAAAGAAAATTTGGACAATGAATAAGAATGGTAAATTGGCATAGCTACTTTTCTCTCCATTGTATCCCCAATATCTTACACAATGCCGTGCACATGTTAATAACCATAATTTGCTCAATAAAAATTTACTCAATAAATAAAAATGTGTTCTTCATTCTTTTATAAATATACAATTATCTTCTTTAAATCTTCAAAGGAATATAACATTCTATGAATGTAAACTGTAAGAAGAGTGAATTTTGAATTTCAAATGAAAAAAATAAAAAGAATTTGGTTTTGAAGAAAAATTCTGATGGTAAATAATGAAAAGGATGGTTATAATAACTACCTTTTATTAGTATGTCATGTACTTTTTAAACATTTTACACATATTAATTCATTTAATTTTTATAATGTCCTATTATATACACTGAGAAAAATAACTTCAACTTGATCTAAGCTCATCTCCCTTCGCCTCTTTTATTTGGGGGGAGGGGGGTGTAGTACTTGGGATTAAGCCCAGAAGCACACTAACACTGAACTGCATCCCCAGCCCTTTGTATTTTTTATTTTGATAGGGTCTCACTTAGTTGTACAGGCTGGTCTGGAACCTATTACCCTCTGCTTTAGTCTTCCTAGTTGCTGGGGTTACAAATGTGCACCATTATGCCTAATTACCTCAATATTTTATAGCATTTAAAAAAATTTACTGGGCTGGGGTTATTGTTCAGTGGTAGAGCACTCGCCTAGCGTGTGCAAGGCCCTGGGTTCGATCCTCAACATCACATAAAAATAAATTTTAACAAAATAAAGATATCGTGTCTAACCAAAAAAATAAATATTTAAAAAAAAAGAAAATTTACTACTATGAACATTTAAGAACATTTAGTTTTTCTTAATATTTTCAAGTATCTCAATCAGCTAAAACTCCTATACTTATTATAAAGTAAGATACTATGAGTCCTATTGCAGAATTATATACAAATATATCTATCCAGTGTCTGCTAAATCTCTCCACTGGAGTTCTACCCTAAATTAAATCCTAAATTAAATAAGATCACACACCGACTTCAAATTTGCTCTTCTTTATGTATTCCCTATGTAGTTAACAATACCATCATCCACTAAACTAATTGCCTAAGTCAGAAATCTGAGAATCATGCCTGATTTTCATGCCTCCATATACCTAGAGTTAATTGGTTAAATAACTCAAATCCATCTCCTCTTATTCTTAGAGAGCATTTGTAGACTTTCTTGTTTCCCACCTTAACCTCTTGCTGTCATGGTGGTATCTATGACATCTGCATCTTTTTATATTTTTTGCTCTGTCCCCCTTCCACCTAGAGCCTTAATAATTTCATGGCATAACAAATTACTTACTTCCTTGGATTCTATTTTAAAGCAGGAGCTATTTATCTGTATACTCAGAATAACTAGTAAGCACAATATCTGAAATACACAGAATAAGTGTTTAATAAATAAATGCAAGTTATTTTAAAGCAATTTCTTAGATTTCCTCATACACACAGTGAAGTCACACTCCTAAAGATTATTTTGTATCTTATCAAATATTTGTTTTAACAAATCCAAATCTTATAAAAAGTCTAATTTTGGGGTGTATTATAAAAATTTTTAAATTGGTTTGTTTATCTTATTGTAAATAAAAACCTTGTATTCTAATATAAAGGTCAAACAGCAATACTCCCATCCTTTTAAAACAATGGTAATAATACCTAAAAATTCCCTATAGCCACTTGGGGGTAGTTTAAGAAAAACTATTATGGGCCTTGGATTTATACAGAAAGGACATGCATAAAAAATTACTATATTGCATGATTTTTAGGATGGATTCTCCTTCTACTTGTATTATTTTGGGGATATTAATTTCAAAAACTTACCCTTGATCATTTCTGATTGCTCCCATGACTCCAAGAACCAATGGCCAACCAGGTCCTAGACTGTCTCCCTGACTCTGCAGAATCTGCAATACACATTCTAATTGCTTTAGTCGTATATCTGGATGGTTAATATTGGACATCTCCTTTAATGGATTCAATAAAAGCAATTGCAGTCTCTGAAAAGCAGACAAGAAACTAATTAGGAAGAGAAATTTAAAAAGAGAGGAATTCTTTGTTGTTCCCTTTTTCTTATCTTTATTTATTTTTTCTTTTCTTTTAAGACAACATCTGACTTGTTGCCCAGGCTGGTCTTGAACTTCTGGGATCAACTGATACTTCCACCTTAGCCTCCTGAGTGTTGGATCTATATAGACATGCACCACAGCACCCAGCTTGTTGCTTTCACTGCTTGTTAAATTCACCATTACTCAAGACTACCAAGGTAAGCAGAATTTTTTTCTACTAAAATAAACATTGAACATGACTTCTCTAACAGTATTCATTAGAGATTTGTCATTTATATTTTTAATGAGGAAAAAAAGCCAAGTCTTTAAGATGTTATATTTCAAGATAAAAGGGTAGGTATCTTACTTTGAAAGATAATAAATATAGAACCATATAGAAATCAATTTCATTAAAGATCATATATCTCTAGTAGTATTTGAAGAGTAGAAAACAATCACCAATTACTAAAATCACCTTTAATATTCTTTATTATTATACTACTACATGTATTCAAATTTAAAATTCCTAAGTGTGATGGAATAAAAGGAATAAAATGTTTAGAAAATGAATAAGTATGGCGAATTCTAACAAAGATGACATAAAACCATGAAATATGTTGCAGAGTAAACAAGAGCACTTGACTCTATCCTGTTCAGTATCTGAAAGCATTTGCTCCATTTTTTTTTCATTTTTCTTTTCTTTAAGAGTTCTTTATTTGGTTACTGACTGAACAAATAATTTATTAAGCTCTAACTATACATCAAGTATTAAGGTGAACATTGAAAATACTGGAGCAGTTACACAACTATTTTTTTAAAAAAATTCAAATTGTAGAAAAATATATAAAATCACTAACATGTAAGATGTAAAAGAATATGTATCTTTTCTGTCTTGTTGACTATTGTGTTCCAAGAGCTACGCTGAATAATTACATGTTGAGTAAATTTGTAGAACTGGAATACAATAAGATGTGGGGGCAATGAGAATATTTATTAAATGCCTCATTCCTACTCAGTCCTGAAGCAGTAAAACTTTGGTGGACTTTTAAAAACTTTGCTCTGGTTCAGACGTGGTATCCCCCAAAAGCTCATGTGTGAGACAACGCAAGAAGGTTTGAAGGAGGAGTGATTGGGTTGTACGTCAACTTAATCAGTTAATTAATCCCTGATGGGATTAACTGGGTGGAAACTAGAGGCAGGTGGAATGTTGCTGGAGGAAGTGGTTCATTGGGGATGTGGCTTTGAGGTATATATTTGTATATGACAATAGGAGACCTCTTTCTCTGTTTCCTGATCACCATGTGAACTGCTCCCCTTTACCACACACTCTGCCATGATGTTCAGCTTCACCTCAAGCCCTAAGAAATGGAGCCTGCTGTCTATGTATGGAGACCTCTGAAACTATGAGCCCCTGAATAAACCTTTCCTCCTCTACAATTGTGCTGATCAGGCCTTTAGTCACAGCAGCAAAAAAGCTGACTGAAACAACTGTGTAAGATATATGTGAATGATAAAGAGTATCAAAATGATGAATATTTTAAATATACTCTAAAAGTAAAAAATAACTTAAAATTTTAAAAATGAAAATCTATTTTATTGTGCATATTTCTTCTGCCATTTGTTTTCTCTCCATGTAGTATAGCAAAAGAAAAAAGTCAGAGATGTAAGGACCAAAAAGGTCAAAGCTCTAAAATGAAGCCTTAGCACTTCATGAAGAGTAAAACTTGTAAACTAGAAGACCAATCTATGTAATTTATTAACTTAATTCAGTGTCATTCATGAAGTGTTTAAAATTTTTCATGAAGACCAAGAATCTCTTACCTTTAATAAGAAATCAATAGTCTAAATATAAAACATTTCTAAAAACTCTCAATTAGAATATTATCTACTTGAAAAACTAAGAAAAACTACATATAGAAAAGAATAATTTCATATTAAGCATTCTTTTTTACCTGGTTCTGTGAAAGTGGAGGCTCATGGTTAAATGTTAATCCTGCTTTAATAAGTGAAGTTAAAGCTTCTGCTCCCCATTCTCTCATTCGAGAGTTTGGATGCTGGCAGACCTGAAGGTACATATGTTGAAAAATCAAATATTTAATTTGTGTACATAACTATGAATCACACATCAATTGAGCAAAGAAAAATTAAAATATTACATTTTCTTTTCACTTTTTAAAAATTACATCAAGTAAGTATTGGAAGAAAACTTACATCAAAAATGTCAGTAAGCTTACCTTCTGAATGAGGGCAAGAGGAAGCAACAAAGAGAAGACAAAAGAAAAAAGCTGAAACTAAAACAAGTCACAGAAAAGAAAGGATTTCATAATAGTAAAGGACACATCATCAGAGCAAATAAAAGTGGCAAGCTGAAATACTAAAGTTTTCTTTCTTTTTTTCTTTTCAGTGCTGGAGATTATACCCAGGTCCCTGCAAGTACTCTAATACTGAACTACATCTCTAATCTCAATGCTAAGTTCTTAATTAAGTTTACAATCAAAGACTGTGATACATTTTAAAAATTTTATCTGTTCCCATTTGATGAGATGATCCAAACATGAAGAAATCAGCTCATATCCTTTACTTATTCTTAAAAATAATTCTTATATAATAAAGAGAAAACCTTCTGTATGTCAGTTTTTCTAATAATAACTTTCTCAGGTTTCTAAAATAATATCAAATGACCTAGATAACACAAACCTGAATTGTATATAGACACATGTACTAACACAAGAAGCTGGCTATTAAGCAGCAACTAATCATTAAGAGTACCCTCAAACTGAATGCAAGATAATATAAATTCGATAAAATCCCCTGGCACTATCTATGGTTAAAAATACCAAATAGATTTTCCCCTAATAGGTTATCTCATAATTGTAGCAAAAATCTGTAAATGAACAGTGTTTACTACTAACTCTCAGCCCCAACTAGCCTGATGGACCATGAGACTGTATAACAAGCTGACAGCTGATTTCTCTGATATTTATCAATTTAAAAATTTCATCCATTTTCAGCCAATAAAAGCAATCTACTCCCTCACCAAACCAATCACTACACAACATTAGTCTTTGATAAAATATACGGATGTAGATGCACAGGAAAGGGGCAAGGAAAGTTAATACTTTGGTTATCTGGAACTACTGGCTCAATGTGGATGTCTTTATTAATAAAAAAATAAAATATAATATTTAAGAAAGAGTTTACCTCAAGTAAATGACCAGTGAGAGGTCTCCATAAAATTTCTATTCGGTGCATGTTAACTAGACCAGTTTCTAACAATTTGGCAACAGCAAACAGAGATGGTTCCTAGGGAGAAAACATATTGCATTTTAATATTATAAGAAGAATTCTGGGTACATGAACTGTAAATAAAAACAGAATACTCTAAAGAGCATGAGTATCATTAATCAGCATATATAAAGTTACTTAATAAATATAACAAAACCTATTGTCACAAAACAACCCTTTCTGTCAAGATATTCTACTACTCAGAATAGATCCTAATTAGATCATTTGATTGAAAACGCTTTTACAGGGAAAGGGTAAAAGTCCAAAAGTTACACTTAACCTAGAGAATGGCTAACAATAAGAGTACTTCATTCAAACATCTACAAATTTAAAGACTTTTTTATTATATATTTCTAACACTTTTATAGTACTGACAATATCCAATACGGAAATGCTTAATAGTATCTTTCTTAGTAGAAATCAGTGAATTAAGTACATTAAGGTTTTAAGACCCTTCTTCCCTGTGCTAATGTGGAGGTGTCTACAAATTTTGATGGCAGAAAAATTAATGATTCTAGAGAAAATATGGTATTGTGGTTGTGACTGACATCTATGAAGTTTTAACTGTCTGGGATTTCATCTTGATTCTGCCACTTAACAGCTATGTAACCTTAGGTAAATTGCTATCTCTACTGAACTTTTTAATCATTAACATGGAGATAATAATAGTATAGAAACTACCTCATATCACAAAGTACATGACACATAAGAAATCTCTCTCAAATAATGTCTAGTATTACTTCTTCCCCTTTCTCCTTATTTTAGCCAGAATATACACAGGAATCCTATATAGCATTTAAAAGAACACAAAGATGCCTAAGATTCATATCTAAAGAAGTTTATTCAAGAACCCTAGAATGTAGTTGGCATTTTTACTTTTTAAAAATGCCATAGGTGACTTTGAAAACACCCAAAGTTAAGAGTCATTAGCAAGAGTAAAGCTTTGGGTTGAGAAATAGATAGGTTCAAATCCAAACTCTACTGTTTACTAAATAAATGATCTCAGGCAAGTTACTTATGCTCTCTATTTTCATGTTTTCATTTGTAAGAAGAGAAGGCTAACACGGAAGCTCATAAAGTTGTTTTAAGTGATTAAATTAATTAAGTCAGTGGTGAGCGTACAGAAAACACTCAATGAAAAATAGCTGCTTTAATACTTCTATTGTTACACTGAGCTGGGTAATATGCTTTGCTTCATACTTATCAGCTTCACCTTCTAAGAAAGAATTTACAAACCTTATAATAAATTACATCCATAACACATTAGTGCAAATTCCCGAAATGAAGACCAAAACCAAGATGTTGGTCACTTTAAAGTAATCTCTACAATAGAATTCCCTACATTTAACTCACTCAGAACAGATGACATTGTTAAATCTATTTTCTTAACAATGTAGAAAATTAACTTATTTTAATATCTGCATATTTATCACACTTATAATACTTTTTATAGAAGTTACAACTAATAAACTTTTAATAACCTCCATCTAGAAATGTTTTTATAAAGTCTGTATTTAATATATTTATAATACAATATTATTCAATTTCCCCCCCTTATTTTGTGCTAGGGAATTGAACCCAGGGCCTTGCAGATTACTTGAATATTTTTATAAAGCTTTCATTTTCATTTCATATTTGTCATTTCACTTTATAAAACTGAATCCTAAAATGGAGAGATGTGAATCCACTCTTATAAGAAATTATCTCAGTACTACTCAGTATATTCATGTTTTCAACATTTGTTCCCTCTAAGTCTTCCTTAAAAGTCACATCTGCCCCTCTTGAAATTGTATTCTTCAAGGTTAACAACAATTATTAAACACCAAAGCTCCTGTTTTTCTCTCATTAATTATGATTTCTTGTAAAGTTTTTATCTTTTGATTTCCATGAATTTGCCTTTTATAATCTGTTTTTTTTTTTTGGTGGGGTGGGGTACTGGGGATTGAACTCAGGGGCACTTAACCACTGAGCCCTTTTGTTGTATTTTATTTAGAGACAGGGTCTCATTGAGTTGCTAGGTCCTTGCTAAATTGCTCAGGCTGGCCTTGAACTTGAGATCCTCCTGCTTCAGCCTCCCAAAACAATGGGATTACAGGTGTGCGATACCACACCTGGCTTGCCTTTTTAAATCTAAATCCTACCATTCCTTTACTATCTAGTTCCAATCACACTAGTTTATTTTGGCTAACTTAACTCATTTTAATAGATATATAAAAGTATCTCATGTAATAAAGAATTAAGAATTCCTAAAATAAGTTTTATCAAATAATATCTATACTATATATTTTGGGGGGGGGACAGAAGGGTGATGGGGGTAGGGATTACCAGAGATTAAACCCAGGAGCATTGAACCATTGAACCATATCCCCAGCCCTTTTTTATTTTTGAGACAGGGTCTCGCTAAGTTGCTCAGAGCCTTGTGAAATTGCTGAGGCTGGTCTTGAACCTGTGATCCTCTTGCATGAGCCTGGTCTTAAACCTGTGATCCTCCTGCCTGAGCCTATCAAACTACTGGGATTGCAGGCATGTGCCACAAAGCCCAGCAATATCTATACTATTTGCTTAGACTCTCATACCAAATTAACTGTGATTTAACTGGAGTGAAGCAGTTTAGATCTTATTTAAAAGTAGAAACCTATTTCTTTTATATCTTCCAGCAGAATGTCATTTCTTTTATATCTTCCAGCAGAGTGTTTGTTACATGAACACATAAATTCTCAAGAAATTATAAGTTTGCATGTTTTTCTTTATGGCACTCTTCAAAATATTATAGTTTTGTGTTAAGAATCTCAAAGGTGGAGGATTATTCACATATCAATAAATTGATTAGTTTACTATACTTGTATCCTTGCCTGAATTTTTGGAGCAAATTTTAATACATGTTTCCAAACACCTAAATGTTTATGTAATTATCTAGTTATATGCTATAATAAATAAACTTATGCTTTAATGAGAATTTCTTCTTAGAGAGTAAGTCACATGAGCCAAGATAATAAGCCATAGTACACAGATTTAAGGATTAAGGAGACAACATATTTTTGGACCATACATATAGATATGTTAAATAAATTACTGGGTTTTCTTCATATTATTTGTAAATGGTGAAACTATACTCATTAATTTCAAAATATAGAAAGGACTTTATTTTTGTGTGGTTCTGAGGGTCAAACCCAGAACCTCACACATACCAGGCAAGCATTCTACCACTGAGATATATCCCCAGCCTGAAAGCAGTTTACTTAAAATATTACTAAGATATAAATAAGCCCAAATTTTCCTGTGCTTTCCAAGTATAACAAAATGAAAATGTGAATATAAAGAAATGTTTCTGAATGTCAATATTCAAAAGTACTGTTCTTTTGATTTAATCAGTAAACACAAAGTTTAATTTCAAAGTTAGGAGAGTCACTACCTTTAGATCCCAATGAAGGCATGAGAAACAAAGACATGTATTCCTTAATTTAAATACTGTAATATTCTGATCAAAAATTTTAATCACAAGCATTACTGTGACATTTTAGGAAATAAATTCATAAAAATTATGATGCATTATTCTTTATAAAAATCGTTTTTAGAAATATTCACTACTCGAGCCAGATGCAGTTAACACACTCCTGTAATCCCAGACACTCAGGAAGCTAAGGCAGGAGGGCTGTGAGTTCAAAGCCAGCCTGAGCAACTTAATGAGGCACTAAGGAACTCTATCTCTAAATAAAAGACCCTATCTCTAAATAAAAAAGGGATAGAGATGTGCCTCAGATGGGCTTAATCCCTGGTACAGGAAGAAAAGAAAGGAAAAAAGAAAATCACTGCACAAGAAAAATGGGCACAATTTAAGTCATATAACATATTTAGACATATAAATAGTAACACAAATCATGTCCTCTTTACTCCCCCTTCTACAAATAATAACCAAAAATGGTAAAAACCTATCAATCAGTCTATTGTTAACAAACTAAGTATTGGTCCTACTAGCAAAACACTGAGATCATAACATCTTATATGAGTAAATGCAATACTATATTTAGAATAGAAAGGTAGATTATCAGACCTTATTATTTCCATAGGCCATATCCATTGCTTCTAGAGATAAGGAACAGAGTGCATTTATTAAATGATGTAATGATACATCATCAAGATACCTAAAATAAAAATGAAGAAATAAGATATTTTGATCTAAAATATATAGCTAGTAAAATATTTTTCTATCAAATGTAAAATTGACTCTTACTGCGAGCTTTCAAACAATCTTGAAAGTATATTGGAAATCACTGGTAAATCTGTCATCACTGCAGTTGTTAGAACCTAAGAGAAGCATATTAAATTAAATATAACATGACATTTTTGGAAGCACTAATTAGATAAGAAGGACTAGAGCTTACTGTACTAGGTCCTTCTACAGCTCTTCCAGGTTTCAAGGCACCACCACTACTAGGCTTTAATCCCAGAATCCATACAAGATGCTGAAAAATTAAAACAAAGCAAATACACTTATAAAACTATAAAAATTCTAATAACTAGAATTAAAGGCAGTAGTAACTACTAGTAAACAAAATTAAAATCAGTAATTAATATTCTTATAAAATAATTACACCAAGTGTAAGCAGTAGAACTTAGGCCATTATGAGAAGCACTCTACCACGTTCTATGATATGAGCTATGTCATTTATTCCTTTGTAACTTCTCATTTTACATGCTTACTCTGTCATAGGTCTGCGTGAAGCACCAATAGATAGTGCTTAGTTTAACTGTTAGCAATTATAAGTAATAATATGCTAACCTCTGATCCAAGTACTTGAACATACCTGAAGAGTTGCCAAGACAAGTTGCCATGATGTTCCAAGAACAGCTCCATGACAGTGTGCCAAGTTAAGCAGAGTCCTCATACACTGGATATTTTTGGAAGTTAGCTATATTGAAAAAGGATATATCTGCAAGATCTGTTAAGCATTCTTAAAAAGTATAAGTTTATAAAGCAGCATTAATACATTCAAAGACTTTTTAAAAGTAAAACAAAGAAATATTAAGAAAACAGGTTTGAATAGTTTTACAAAACACAAATTAATCTGACTTAAAGTTGTCATGTTCATTACAATGTGACTGAATAGTTAACCAGTTTCTCCTAAAAATACTCTCCAGGTAAAAGAAAGTAATAACTACAGTAATACATTTTGGCAAATGCAAAAAGGGGTAAAACATGTTTCCTTAATAATTAATTGGTAACCAACAAAAACAAGTGTATTACCATTACTGTCCCTTGAGGCTGGACTGCTAGAGGTTGACCCACTGCCACAACCTGCTGGTGAGACTCACTTGATGGACTTATCATCATAACACTTTGGCCCTGAATAGAATACGCTAGAATACAAAGGAAAGTCTAAATAAGTTAAAAAAAAAAAATGCTTTTATATTGCAATCAGAGTAACAGAATATTTTAAAATATTAATGTGATTAAAGTTCCACCGTGACACTTATTTAAATACCAATAATATCTATTATGAGTGTGCTAACATTATGAAAACTCATGGGGTATGGGGTATAAAAACCAAGACAAGTTAAGCAAATATTAAGTGGTTTTCAGTACCGATTGTAAAAAAATTATAAAACTCTGGTTATTATCTTCATAAACAAAATGGAATTAGAACAAATTAAGCTTAAACATCTATTTGTAGTATACTTGTATAGTTAAAGTCAGAGAGCAATATATTTTTAGTTTGAAAACTTTACTATCACATTAATGTATACTATACATGCTCTCAAAGTATTCAACGTAAATGAATTTTTGAAGGTGAGCTTAACCTAAGTAGTTATAAACATTAACCATTCTACTAGTTCCATTTAATACAAAATATCAACCACTATTTCAATATTATGTTAAATTTTTAACAGACTTATAGTTTTATTTTGTTTGCATGATTATGTTTTAAAAATATATTATTATCTTCTCCCACTCCCACTGTATTAAAGAGATGGAAAAAAACTGAAGCTCAGGGACAATCACTTCCCTAAGACCACACAGTCAGTAAGTGGAACAGCAGAGATGTGAACTCAGAATTTCTATAATCATTTCTCTATATCACCCAACAAGATGGAAGGAACGTTGTACAAGCTTAAGTCTTACATTTATTGGAAAGTGTAGCTGCTGTGGTGGTGTTCAATACAGTAAGGGCATAATGCGGAGGCAAGGAACCTTTGCATATTGCAGTTATAAAGGCATCTCTTGAAGTTACAAGGCCCAGTCTTCCACAAAGAGCAGCCATAGTCAGTTCAGCTTTTAAGATATTCTCAGTGGCAGCTTCATCTGTGCTAAAAAGATAAGGTATTTTATTTAACTGATTAACTTATTTTAAATTGAATTATAAAATATGACTTGAAATTAGGTATTCAGTAAAGTCTTAAGAAAATCTACCCAAAATATCAAAAATCAATATACTTAAGAAGGAATTTTAATCAATTAACATAATATCTGAAAATTTAAACTGGGTAAACACAATGTACAATGCACACATTTATTATGGAAGAAAATTATCAAGAACTGAAAAGATTTAACTTAAAACATGGAGCATTTTAAAATCAGCAAAAATTCTGCAATCCTAAAGAAAAATAAATCAAATAAATTAAATATGATAATGATCATTGTAAAAATAGTAGTATGTCTTAAAATGAATAGAGTGTTCTATAATTTGGGATTGTATTTTCTATTAAAACACTGACACTGTGACAATTGTGGTAGAGGGCAGGGCAGGGACAGGATGAGGAAGAGCAATGGCTGTAAAAGAATAATGTTCTTGAAGAAATGATAAGGATCACTTGCACACTGTATACATATATTTTATCGAACTGTATTCCAAAGATATGAACAATTAAAAATAAGTTATAATGTTCTTTCTATATACCCTTTAGCAACCCAGGCTTATTTTTTGATTGAACTAGACCCTAGTAATTTCCCGACTAAATGGACTTCAGAAGTTCTGAAAGTTTGAACTGTTAGAAAAATGCACAGCCTACATGTGGCCACAGAGGGAATCTTCCTCTTAAGCCAAATGCACTCTAAATATTGAAATGTCATTTTCACAACTACAGTTTTTACAGTTTTTCTAGATGGATTATTTTTCAAAATTGGTCGACATTAGTAGAAGTACAGATTCTTTTTTTTTTTAATATTTATTTTTTAGTTTTCGGTGGACACAACATCTTTTTGTTTGTATGTGGTGCTGAGGATCGAACCCGGGCCGCACGCGCATGCCAATACAAAGATCTTGACATATCATATATTTGAGTCAAGTGGGGTATGGTTTCCCATTTTTCCAAGTGTGCAGGTTGCAGAATCACATTGGTTATATAGACACGTATGTACATACAGCAATACTAGTGTCTATTTTATTCTGCTGCCCTTCCTATCCCCCCTTCTCCGACCCTCCCCTCTCATCGCCTCTCTCTGCCCAGTCTAATGTGATGCCTTTCTTTTTTTTTTTTCTCTCACATCATCATACATGTACATTTCTTTGAGTTTGAAATAAACCAATGTTGAAAGTAATGTTCTCTGGGTGGAAATGTGAATAAAGATGTTTTTAAAGTCAAAAAATAAAAATAAGTTATAATGTTCTTTCTATATAAAACACTAATATTAGAAAATAAATTCTTCAAATTCAAGTAAACCATTTTAATATTTGTTTAACTCTCATGATCTAATATAAAACTTACAAAGACTTAATACCTGGCATCAAGAAGGAGTGAGAGTGCAGCAAGAAGACCACACCAGCAAGCATTCACCATTTCTTCCCAAACAGCTCTACTAACTTCAAGAAAAAAATAATAATAATACTTAATGACAATAATAGATGTCATAATATTTAATGACAATTCAAATTCTAAAATCTCCCATGTTAATTGACAATAAGTCAAATATTTTATCAACTCAACTGTTAGAATACTGAATCTTTTGTATTTAAAATATACCCGAATAAATAAAACTTTAGATCAGGCCTGGTTGTACACATAAAGACTCCTAGCTACTCCAAAGGCTGAGCAAGAATATTACAAGGTCCAGGCCAGCCTAAGCAACTTTGTAAGACACTATCTCAAAATAAAAATAAAAAAATAAAAAGGGCTGGGGATATAGCTCAGTGGTAGAGTGCCACTGGGTTCAATTCCCAGTGCCAGAAACAAACAAAAAAACAAAATTAAAAGCTATACTACAGTGGCTTAAACCTTTATAAAGTCTTAAAACTAAGTTGTTTGAAAACATCTATTGTAAGATCTTCCTATACATGAGTTAACTGATTCATATCTTATTAAAAAATATATTAACATCAGTTCCTATTTTCTTCTCTATTAGCCAAACTTTCAATCTCTAGGACCAGCTGGGAATGAGGATGAGCTATATAATAATAAGCTGGCTTTGGCAGGATTCTGATTACGTACATTGGAAATCATACAAATAAGCAAATACATTGAGTAAATGAGAGTGGGAAACTGAAGTTACAAATATGGAAAGGTAAAAATAAACCCAGTGGTACTGAAGTGGGATAGAAAAATTAATATGATGTCATAGTATTTAATAGAGCAAGACAGACATTTTTGAAATATTGAGATATGTGTTGTTGTTTTGTGTGTATTTCCTATCCAAGTAGCAAGAAGCATCCCTAGTGCCCATGTGTTAGTTTCAATACTATTCTCCAAGACTTCTTGGAAAACTAACCTGACATTGGGGCTGGATAAGAAATACTTAACATCTTATTAAACAGTGAGGAAGTACCCAGATAAAGTCAAAAGACTTGAGACACATATTGAAGGGGACACAGGGCTGGGCAGGGTGGCACATGCCTGTAATCCCAGTGGCTCACGAGACTGAGGCAGGGGCATTGCAGGTTCAAAGCCAGCCTCAGCAATTTAAAGAAGCTGTAAACAATCTAGTGAAACCCTGTCTCAAAATAAAAAGGGCTAGGGATGTGGCTCAGAGAATAAGTGTCCTTGGGTTCAGTCCCTGGTACCCCGCCCCTAAATCCCCTGGCAAAAAAAAAAAAAAAAAGACACAAGGGCTAGCTTCAAACAGGTCAGTCTGAGCATCAAACTAAATAATGATAGTCATAGATTTAGTCTTTTGAATAAAATCAAAATCCATGAATCTACACTAAATAAAATTAAAATTCATGAATCTACATTAATATAAGTATATAAATTTCTAAGAATAGCAAATGGTGGAGAAGAGAAAGAATTTTTATAATATATTTTATTAGAAAAATATGTGATTTTACACAAAGGAAATCTGGCTGACATATTAGTCATAGATAAAAGTAAATATCTCCAATTATGAGATAAATTGACACTGTATGCTTCCTAATGCACTGGCACACTAAATATAATACAGCAACATTTCTATGCTAATTCTGCATCAAATGAATAAATTAAATATAATTGTGAAGAAACATAAGACAAAAGCAAATTGTCCTGATTCCTCAGAAGTATGAAGGTCATATAAAACAAGGAAAAACTAAGGAATTTGATCCACACTGAAGGAAAGCATAGACACATCAAGATTAAATTCAACAGATAAACCTGGACCATAAGAACACTATAGGGGTAACTGACAAAATCTGAATGAGTTGTGGGTTTAGATATTATTGGATTGATCCTAATTTCTGATAGTGTTTGTACTATAGTATGTTGGAGACTTAGTTTTAGAAAATCCACACAAAGTAATTAAGGGGCAATGAGGCATCATATCTACAACTTATTCTTAAATAGTTCAGAAAAAACAATGACATGTACATAAATAGAATGGTAAGGTAAATATGGTAAAGTGTTAACAATGGGGAATAAGGGTAAATGACAAGGAAACTCTACTACTTTTGCCAGTTCTCTGTAAATTTCAAAATAATAATTAAAAATACAGAATGGTAATACACACCTATTTCCTTATCCATTTGGTCTGATGTTGACTGTAAATCTTGCTGTTCTGATGAATGCATTGGTGAAGAAGCCACTTCTGAGGTAGACTGATATTCTGTTTCAACCTCTCCTAACTCTCCTTCAATCATACTAGTGATTCCCCGAACAAGGTCTAGCAAACAATGGAATGCCACAGACATGGCATAACCTTCTGGTATAGTTGGAGGCTCAACTTTGTCCAGCATCTCTAGGCTGAAATTTTGAAAAAATTAAACACTAATGAGAAACCAAAATCAATAAATATGCAAAATTCTTTCCATTATTTGTAGACTATGAAAACTGACATTAATAGAATAGCCAAAATAAAAAGATATTTCTGAGTTTAATTTGGAGAAGATCCATTTATCATATTCTAAGAAACTGATTAGAAAACTTAAGACCTGGCCCCTGCCATAACTAATTATTTTAATTTTTTACTTCATTTTTCCCTACAACAGTGACAATACTTTTATTAATTGTTGATATTTGAAAAATAAAGATTTAGAAACAAAATAAATAAGCAAATTAAAAACTTTTCGAACTCTGATTTTAGGTGCTTTTAAAATGAGGTGCTAAAATCAATACTACAAAAAGGAAAATACTTTCACATTGGGGAAAAGCATAACTGTAAGATACCTAGTTTACCTATCATTCCAGATACAATATACCAAGAGTATAAACAATACTTAACACAAGTGTCAAGTTCAAGTTGCAGAAGTGTTTCTACTGCATAGTTAAGAGAAAACTTTCAGAGGGAAGGACAAAAAAATCTTGTGTCTTACACCATGCCAAATAAGGAATTGTGGTTTTAAGCATTGTATAGTTTTCTTTCAAGATAACATCACGAAGAAAGAATAATCCATTTGGGAATGAATTAATGGTACTGAGACAACTGAACATACAAAAGAGACATTGGATCTCTACTTTATGCCACACACAAAATTAAATAAAAATGAACCAATGACCTAAATGCAAAGGTAAAACTCTTCATGATCCCACATTAGATAATGGTTTGTAACATGAAGCCAAGAGTGCAAACAACAAAAGAAACATGGGGGTTGGGATTACAGCTCAGTTGTAGAGCACTTGCCTTGCACATGTGAGGACTGGGTTTGATCCTCAGCACCATGTAAAAATAAAAGTATCGTGTCCATCTACAACTAAAATAAATTTTATAAAAAAGGAAAAGCAACACTAGATTCAACAAAACTATTGTTAAAACTATTGTGCTTCTAAGTGCAGTATCAACAAAAATAAAAACAACTCAGAATATGAGAAAAATTTTGCAAATTAGATATCCAACAAGAGACTTGAATCTAGGATATAAGAAAGCTCTTACAACTATATAATAAAAAGATAACCAAATTATAAAAAGCAAAAGATCTGAATAGATATTTCCCCCAAGAGGACAGATAAATAGTCTACAAGCACAAAAATAGATGCTCAATATTGTTAATCATTAGGGAAGTACACAATACTACTTTGCAACCACTAGAATCTCTAGCATCAAAAAGATGAAGAATTTCAAATATTGCTCAGGATGTGGAAAAATCTAAAATCCTTTATACATTGTTGATAGGAATGTAAAATGATGCAGTTGCTTGGCAAACAGTTTGACAGTTCCTCAAAAGTAACTCATGAAAAAAACACAGACACTGAAACTGAGTAGTAAAGTGAAGTAGTTATTAATTAGTAGTTTTCAACTCAAATCTGACTGAGCTTAAGCAATTGAACCACTAATATGTATCAAATCAGCTTTGTAAAATTTAGGTAACTAATAGAAAAATATTGATATTATTGATCAAGAAATTTAAACTCAAATGGGGAGATAAAGTCCATGGATTATCAGGACTTTATCAGGCCAGTTATCACAAAATCACATAGTAAACAAATCAATGAGAAGCATCTTGTTCAACAGATTGCTGTTTTCAAAGAATATGTTATTAGGAAAATACATCAAAATGAAAATAATTCTAAAGACCAAAATCTCTTGATTTTTAAATTCTATGATGTAGGCTTTAAGTACTATAATAGTTAAGAAAAAGGGTGATTTACATTTTGTATTCATGTCAAAAACAAAACACACTTGTTTTCCTCCAAATTTTTCATTGGTGCATAATGGTGGGATTGTATATAATGGTGGGATTTGTTGTTACATATTATTATGTGCACATTCATAACAATATAATTTGGCCACTATCATTCCTAAGTATTTTCCCTTTCCCTTTACTCGTCTTACCTCCAGTCCCTTTTCTCTATTCTACTTACCTCCTTTTGAATTTCCATGATATCCCCCCAACCTTTCTTTTCCTTTTTCCTCTACAGCTTCATATACAAGAGAAAATGTACAACCCTTGACATTCAGAATTTCAATTATTTTGCTTAACATAATGTTTTTGAGTTCTATCCATTTTCCTGCAATTGACATATCTCATTTTTTCTTTTTGGCTGATGTTAATTTGTTGCATATGTTAATTTGGCTATTATGAATTGTGCTGCTATAAACATAGGTATGCATGTATCACTATGGTTTGGTTACTTTAATTTCTTAGTATTAATACTAAGAAGTGCTATAGCCAGGTCATAAGGTGGTTCCATTCTTAGCCTTCTGAAGAACCTCAATACTGATCTCAATAGTTATTATACTAATTTACAATCCCACTAACAGTGTACAAGTGTTCCATTTTCTCCACATCTTCCCTAGCAGTTATTATTGTTTGTATTCTTCATGGAATCCATTCGGATGAGACTGAGACAAAAATCTCAATATAGTTTTGATTTATATTTTCCTAAAGCTAACGATGAAGAAAGCTTTTTTCATATATTTGTTGGCCATTTGTATTTCTTTTTGAGAAATGTCTGTTTTAATCATTTGCCTACTAATTAATTGGGTTACTTGGTTTTGTTGCTGTTAAGGTTTTTTACTTCTTTATATGTTATCGATATTAATCCTCTGTAAAGAGAGTAGCTAGCAAAATTTTTCTCCCATTCTGTAGGTTCTCTCTTCACTTTCTTATTTCCTTTGTTATGCAGAAGCTTTTTAATTAGATGCCATCCTATTTATTAACTCTTGTCATTATTTCCGGAACTTCAGGGTTTCTACTGAGAAAGAGATTGCCTATGTCTATATGTGGCAATGTTGACCCTACAATTTTTTTCTAGGAGTCGCATACTTTCTGGTCTTATTTGTAGGCCTTTGATCCATTTTGAGTTGACCTTAGTGCAAGGTAACAGATAAGAGTCTAGTTTCATTCTTCTACACATGAACATCCTTGCTTTTTCCAGATTTTAAAATAAATAGTTTCAGTTTTTCCATATCCACTATGAGGTTGGCTTTGAGTTTTTCAAATGATAAACTTTTATGATGTTGAGGTAGATTCTTTAGTTTCTTCAATGTGTTTATCATGAATTGTCGATGAATTGTGTTGCACTCTTTTTCTCCTCTATTCAGATGACTAAATGATTTCTGTCTTTAATTGTGTTTACAAGATGAATTATATTTCTTGATTTGCATATGTTAAACCAACCTTGCATACCTGAGATAAAATCAACTTGGTGATGATGTACAATCTTCTTAATATGTTCTTGAATACAATTTACTAATATTTCATAAGGATTTTTGTATCTAAGTTCATCAGGGACACTTCTGTAGTTTTCTTTCCTTGATGTGTCCTTCCTTATCTGGTTTTGGTATGAATGTGATACTGGCTTTGTAGAATTAATTTGGAAGTGTTTCATACCTTTCAATTTCATGGAATAATTTCAGGAGCATTGTCATCAGTTCCTCTTTAAAAATCCAGTAGAATTCAGGCGAGAATCTACCCATTTCTGGCTTTTCTTTATTGGAAGGATTTTTATTACTGTTTCTACCTCATTGCTAGTTATTGCTCACTTTAGGTTTTCTGTGTCCTTTTTATTCAATTTTTTGCAGGTCGGCTGTGCCTAGAAATGTATCCATTTCTTCTAGATTTTCCAATTGATTTCAGTATAAGTGTTCAAAATAGTCCCTAATGATCTGCTGGATTTGTATGAAATCTGAACTGGATTATCCTTTTTCATCTCTAATTTTATTAATTTGGGTCTTCTCTCTTTGTTTTTTGGCTAATTTGGCCAAGGGCTTACTAATCTTATCTTTTCAAAGAACCAATTCTTCCTTTTAATTCAGGATCCTTTGTATTTTTTTTCTTAGTTTCACAGCTTTAGGCTCTGGTCTTAATTATTTTTCTTCCTTCTATTGGTTTTAAAATTGGTGTGTTCTTTTTTCGAGGGGGGAGGGGTACCACAAATTGAACTCAGTGGTACTACACCACTGAACCACATCTCAGCCCTATTTTGTATTTTATTTAGAGACAGGGTCTCACTGAGTTGTTTAGCACCTTGCAACTGTTGAGGCTGGCTTTGGTCTTCCTGCCTCAGCCTTCTGAGCAGCTGGGATTACCACCATGCCCAGCTGTTCTTTTTAAAGGGACTTGATATTTATTAGGTTATTTATTTAGGATCTTTTTGATTTTCTTTCTTTTTTCTAAATATTTTTTTAGTTGTAGTTAGACACAACTTTTTTTATTTATTTGTCTATCTATCTATCTATTTATTTATTTATATGTGGTGTTGAGGATTGAACCCAGGGTCTTGCACATTTGAGGTGAGCACTCTACCACTGAGCCACAACTCCAGCCCCGCCACCCCCGAGCCTACCATTGATTTTCTTATGTAGGTACTTATAGCTATAAACTTTTGTCTCAGAATTGCCTTCACAGTGTCCCAGAGATTCTGGGATATTATATCTCTATTCTTGTTTAAGTCCAAGAATTTTTAAATTTTTCTCTTAATTTCTTCTATCATTCATTCATCATTCAAAAGTGTATTATTCAGGGCTGGAGCTGGAGCTCAGTGGCAGAGTGATTGCCCAGTATGTGTAAGGCACTGGGTTCCATCATTAGCACCACATAAGAATAAACAAATAAAATAAAAACATGCTATCCATACACAACTACTAAAAAAAATTTTTAAGTATATTGTTCAACATCCACATTTTATATAGTTCTTACAGATTTTGAGTTCATTTCTAATTTATTTCCATTATGATCTGATAAGAGTTGCTTTGCAGCCTAAAATATGGTCTATTTTGAAGAAGGTTCTATGATTTCCATGTGCTGAACTCTAAGAAGATTAGCAAAATATTTAAAATAACATTCCTCACATATAGGATGTTGAAAGTTAGATATATCACTACTCCCATTTTATAAATGAGAGAATGAGGTTAAAAATTTAATTTACCAAAGGCAACTCAATTAATATAAGAAGATTCTAAATTGAAGAGTATGAAACCAAGCCATATTAGTGTATGTTTGTGTTTTTATTTACTGACTACATCACTCACTAAAATGTAAGCTTCATGAGGGCAAGAATTTTATTCTGTGTTGGTTTTGTTTTATGTCGGTTTGTAAAGTGAGGTGAACTATCTAGATAATTATTAATGCCTCCTTTGGCACTAGAAATCTAATTATTTTACAATATGATCCTCTAATGCATTAGAGTCATTATCATTATTTTTTTTAACCAAAGCTGAGCCAATATTAGACTAAGTAATGTCTTTTAAAATATACAATGAATATACAGATATATCAGTTCTCTGTAATTCTACACTTTCACAATTTTAGGCAAAAAAAAAGAAGCATAGTTAAGTATCAAAACGCAGATTGATACAATGCAGACTAACATACCATAAAAATTTAGATTTATAGTAGTTAATTTTTATTTTACATTTTAAGTCTTGATTTACTGTCATCAAAATAGTATTTTACTTATATACAACAATTATTCAAAGTATATCAGTAACTGACTCACAGTAACTAAAGCAATATTAAACCCATGTAATATTGATTGCTTTATTTCTGTTAGTATTTCATTTCACTAGTTATTAAGAAAAATCAATAATACATTGCTGAATATTTATTTGTTAAACTGATGGCTAACTGCAGTTTCAATAAATTAAGAACCAGAGTTAACACGTGTTTAACCTTAACAACAAGAATAATTATTTAAAATAACGTTCCTCCCATGTAGAATGTTGAAAGTTACATATACCAGTGCTTCCATTTTATAGATAAGAGACATTAAATTAAAACAATGATTAATTTGCTAAACGTAGTTTTGTAGGAAACTTGAGGAGGTAAAGAAATCATATTTGTTTTATAATGCTGTTAAGTCTATATAAATAGCACAAAAGAAAATAAACAAAATCCAGTTCTAAATAAAATCCTCAAAATTGACAATAGCAAATGAGCTCTAAAATATATTAAAAATATGGGGTCTAAATTTAAAATATAATACACACAAAAGCGTTTTAGGATTAAATATTGTTCCTAACACTATTTTGTTCCTTATAAAATAATGTCACTATTACTTACTAGGTGGCTTTAGCACTGCCTTGAACTGTTACTGTCAGAATAGGTATCCAAGTTCCTCTATATTCAAATGCTGGTAGCAAAGTAACACCTCCACCAATTCCCACCATTCCTGAGTTAGCTGGAGCTGAGACTGGGCCACCTGAATTATTGTTGCCTATTAGATAAGGAGGGAAAGCAAAGATACCAATTTACTACTTGATTACAAATTAATACTATTCAAACACCTGGTCAATCTTCAAATTCTTTTCTGTACTATAGGTATTACACATATAAATGAAATTTATTAACCTAGTCTGTCTACCAAAGAAATCTATTTCCCTAAAACACTACTTCCTTTTTTATACAAAAGCTATTAGCGTAAGTAAAAATATGGAAAAAATATTTTAAAAGATAGGATTTGTTCAAGTAAGAAGAAAAGAGACAGAACTCCCTCAGGGTAAGAGGGACCTGATAGAGGTTGCCCTGAACAAAATTTTTATTATACTTTTGATTAGACCTCTTTTTACCAAAGGTAGGAATAAAAAACACAAAGTCTATCAAACAGATAATACAAAGTGATAAAGAAGGTAAAAGGAAACAAGCTTAAAACAAACTTAAAATACGTTAACCTCTTTTGTTAAAAAAGAGACTGACAAACCTCCTAAAGTAGTAACTATCTAGTCTCTTTTAAAAGAGGAATCAAATGAAGATTCTTCCAAAATGAATGGTATCTAAACTTTTGTTCTCATATGATTAGAGAAACAAAAATATACCAGAAAAGAAAATAAATATAAATGTCACAGTAAGATCAAATTATTTGTTAAGTATAAATTGTTACTATGAAAATATTTACTTAATCCTAATTTCCCTAGATAGAATTTCTAAAATAAACCCTCTCAGAACAGTGAATATTGTAAATTATAGCAGAACATAAAAACAAAATATGAATATGCTTTACCAGCTTGGTTGGTTGTAGCAGGATTTCCAGTAGGAGGAACAAGAAACAAGGACTGGATAAATGATCCCAGTGCATTCACAATATCACGAAAAACCTTGGTAGAATGTTGTTTCATATCATAGGACTGACAAAATGACCTGTAAAATCATTTTAAATGTTTCTGAGAAAAAAATTTGAATGCATTAAAAAAATTAGTATTTTTTTAAAGCAAGTAATGTTGTTATTGTACTTTCAATGCCATACTCAAAAGATTCTTCATCACACCTGAGTAATTTTACCAATTTAGGACAAAGGTTCATATTGAAGTCAATGTTCTAAAAAAAAAGATCTTGACTATATTTACTCAGCAAATTCAGACAGATGGCAATTATTAACTACATGTTTTGACTTCATTCGTTGCCATGCCTCCACCCTGTCCCTTCATATATTTATACATATATATAAATTATACAAATTTTCTGTTTAAAAATCACTAATATTTGGGAATACTTAAAATCTTCCCACTAGTTTACTAACCTACTACTAGTTTATTAACCTATCCATTACAAAATATTGCTGAGGTTTTACCTTAACAGCTGAGGCTGCACACATAATCTGTGTATTGATTCAACCGCAACAGCTCGTAGCCACTGTGGTTTATCTGCATCCAGAAATTTCACCAAAAGTGACAGAAATATTTCACATTCAGTTACCTAAAAAGTATAGGGTTTTTTATATTTGTTTGAATCAAAGAAAATAATAAAAAGTTGCATTCTTACTCTTAATTTAGTGCCATAGACAATAAAATCTTTTAGATTTGAAATAAAAATTCTTAATGGTGATAAGAGAAAAAGACAAAAGTAATTACAAGGAAAAAAGTTAGCAATAAAAATACTCATCGTATCTCCTTAGTACATCCCTGAAAACTCTAGTATTCTGCTAACATAGTTAATCCTTTATCCTTTATTTAGGGAACAAGCAGGGGAGTGGTATTTATTTGGCCTCTGACAAAAAATTTCTAAACACTTTGACTTTACTACCACAAGGCCTGGCAATGATTTAACATAACAGTACAACTACACTGATCCTTATATTTCTTTATCTTTTTAAAAATCTCTTGATACTCTATATTGACTGATATCCTAATTATTTTTACTTTTACTATTTTGCTGACATTTTAAAAAGTTTTAAATCATGGTAAAAATACATAACATTAAACTCATTCTTTTAATGATAATTTAAGTATATGGAACAGTAGTGTGTTAACTATATTCACATTGTTGTATAATAGATCCCTAGAACTTTTTCAACTTGTAAAATTGAAACTCTATACCCATTTAAGACTAACTCCCTAATCCTCAGTCCATGGAAATCACCATATTTTGTCTCCATGAACTTACTCTAGATACAGGAGGAATCACACACTATTTGTTTTTCTGTGACTGGCCTATTTTACTCAACATAATATCCTCAAGGCTCCATTGACAGGACTTCTCTCTTTATATGGCTAAAAAACATAACAATAAATGTACATACTGTCATCTTTATCTGTTCATCTGTCAATAAACATTTGAACTGTTTCCACTTCTTGGCTTTTGTAGAAAACATTTCAATAAACACAAGTGTGCAAATATTTCTTTATATCACATTTTCTTTGGGGTATATAGCCAGAAATTGAACTGTAGGATCACATGGTAATTCTATTTTTTTTTTCTCATTAAACTTTTGTTCCAATGGGTCTCAAAATTCTGTGACAGGTTTTTGGTCAAGTTGTTCCCATTAAAAAGCACTGATTTTAGCCAGGCGCGGTGGTGCACGCCTGTAATTCCAGTGGCTTGGGAAGCTGAGACAGGAGGATCCAGAGTTCAAAGCCAGCCTCAGCAATGGCGAGGAGCTAAGCAACTCAGTGAGACCCTGTCTCTAAGTAAAATACAAAATAGGGCTGGAGATGTGGCTCTGTGGTTGAGTGCTCGAGTTCAATCCCTTATACTCATTAAAAAAAAAGAAAGAAAGAAGAAAGTACTGATTTTAAAAACTAACAACTTAAAACTGCCACACACAAAAAACAAATGGTCCATAAAACATTCTCCTTTCCTTCTGAAGGTTTTACAATACATTGTTATCATTTACTAGTCTTTTACTGTCAAACTTAAACGGCCAATTGAGACAAAAAAGTCTGAGACCCTTCTTCTACCACTGAATAAGACTGGGGTGGCAGGTGTTAAGGGTAACATTCATATAGCCTTCTGAGCTTTCTGGGCAGACTTGGTGACCTTGCCAGCTCCAGCAGCCCTCTTGTCCACTGCTTTGATGACACCCACACCAATTTGCCTCATATTACAAACAGCAAAACAACCCAGAGGAGGACAGCCCAAGAAGCTGTCAACACACATGGGCTTTCCTGGAACCATGTCAATGATGGCAACATCACCAGATTTCAAGAACTTAGGACCATCTTCCAGCTTCTTACCAGAACCAGCTTCTTACCAGAACAGTTATCAGTCTTTTCTTTCAGCTCAGCAAACTTACAAGCAATGTGAGCTGTGTGACAATCCAGTATAAAGGCATAGTCAGCACTGATTTACCCTGGATGGTTCAGGAAAATCAACCTGAGCAGATGCTTCCATTGGTGGATTATTTTTGCTGTCACCACAACACTGCCATGATGAACATCTTCGACAGACATGTTCTTGACATTGAAGCCCACACTGTCCGGGAAGAGCTTCACTCTGAGATTCATGCTACATTTCAACAGACTTTACTTTAGTTGTGACATTGACTGGAGCGAAGGTGACCACCATGCCAGGCTTGATAACACTAGTCTCCACTTGGCCCATAGGGACAGTACCAATATCTCCAATTTTGTAGATCCTAGAGGGGTAGATGCAAAGCCTTGTCAGTTGGACGAGTTGGTAGCAGGATGCAATCTAAAGCTTCAAGCAGTGTGGTTCCACTGGCACTGCCATCATTATGGGTGACTTTCTATCCCTTGAACCAAAGCATATTAGAACTAGGCTCCAACATGTCACCACTTCTACAAGAAATGGGCACAAATACTACTGTGTCAGTGTTGTAGCCAATTTTCTTCAATGTAGGTGCTGACTTCCTTAACAATTTCCTCATATTTCTTCTGATTGTAGAATGCCACTGTGAAATCCATTTTGTTAACACCAACAATTATTTGGTGACTTGTTGTTTGCTTCAAACCCAGTATGTAAGCCAAAGGGCACGCTCACAGGTCTGTTCATCCTTGGATATACCAGCTTCAAATTCACCAACATCAGCAACAACAATTAGGGCAGTACAGTCAGCCTGAAATATGCCTATTTTTGATAAAGTCTCTGTATCCTGGGGCATCAATGATAGTCACATAATACTTGCTGGTCTGATATTTCCACAGGGAGATGTCAATGGTGATACCACACTCATGCTCAGCTTTCAGTTTATCCAAGACTCACGTATATGTGAAGGAGCCCTTTCCCATCTCAGTAGCTTCTGTCTCAAAATTTTCAATGGTTCTTTTGTTGATCCCACCATGTTTGTAGATCAGATGGCCAGTAGTGGTGGACTTGCCCAAATCTACATGTCTAATGACCTTTCCATTTTGGCTTTGATTTAGCTATGGTTTTCACAACACCTGTGTTCTGGTAGCAAACAAGTTATGAAAAAGCTAGTAATTCTATTTTTAATTTGAGAAACTACCATACTGTTTTCCACAGTAGCTCCACCATTTTACATTCCCATCAATAGTACACAAAGGTTCCAATTGCTCCACATCTTTGCCAACACTTGTTATTTTCTATTTGTTTTGCCTGTTTCTTTTTTCTTTTTTTTTCATAGTGACCATCCTCATAGGTATGAGGTGATATCTCACTGTCATTTTGCTTTGCATTTCTCAAATGATTTGAAAGGTTGAGCATCTTTTCACATGCTTGTTGAATATCTGTGTATCTTTGGAGGAATGTCTATTCATGGCCTTTGCCTATTTTTAATTAAGTTACTAGGGGTTTTGTTGCTATTGTTGTTGACCTGAAGTTTTTATATATTCTGGATATTAACCCTTTATCAGACATATGACTTGAAAGTATTTTCTCTCATTCTAAAGATTGCCTTTCTGAGTCAGGCATGGTGATACATGTCTTTCTTTTTTTTATTGGTTGTTCAAAACATTACAAAACTCATGACATATCATCTTTCACACATTTGATTCAAGTGGGTTATGAACTCCCATTTTTACCCCAAATACAAATTGCAGAATCACATCGGTTACACATCCACATTTTTACATAATGCCATATTAGTGACAGTTGTATTCTGCTACCTTTCCTATCCCCTACTATCCC